CTTTTTAATACTTATTTCTTAATAAGTTAATATCTTAATGGCAGGATTAGAATTAATAAAGAGAAATAGCCACATGTCTGCGACTACCATACAGGGACTAATGAAATAAGATTAAGAGAAAATGACTTGGTATTTTTTCTTTGGAAAATTCAACATATTTGGATTCATCTTTTGCTTTATATTTTGCCATGAAATTCTATCAGAAGGATGTACAGTGAGTGGATCATCATTCATAACAAATGTTAGTATGGACTATGGGGCAGTTACCTGTGTATAGGGATAATCAAAACAGTTGATTTGATGGTAAAATCTTCTGAATAGGACATGTCCTTTTGCATATATCTCTGTAACTTTTATGCTGTACTAGAGCTTTGTCTCTAGTTTTTAGATGCTCTAAGACAATAAGAATTAAGGTAAGAAAAACTTTGTCACAGTCAAAAACTAAAGCATTGTAACGCAGGATTTTAAAGATTTAGAGACTTCTAAGAAAAAGAAGTAGAAATAGCTGCAAATTGTTTTATTTGCCAGCAGGGTAGTCTGTTACTTCTATGAAGAGTCACTGAAAACCAAGAATTATTAAAAAGGTAAATTGCCTAGGACAGGAACCTCACCTCCTTATCTGTGTGTAAGTGCGCATGTAAAAGTAAAAGTAAACTAACATTTGAAGAACGAAAAAGAAGGGACAAGATGTCTGTGATATGATTCCAAGGTACATAAAAATGCAATAGAAGAAAATAGGAGCATATTATTCTCTGAAAAAAATGAAAACTTAATTTAATGAAGCTCTTCATTAGCTGAGAGAATGAGTTGACTAGTTAATGCAATTAGAATTCTTCATTTGAGCTCTTACTAACTAGGTCATAGCAAGGAAGTATATGGTCATATGGAAACAGAGAACTGCTCCAGTAAAAATATAGATTTAAAAGTATATATTTTTACCTGTGAGGTACATTATGATAAACAGGAAGAAAAATAGCCCAGAGTGGCCTATATTCTATATTCACAATTGACATATGTGTTTAAATCTGAGGATGAGTGGTCTTCCCTAAATTCAGCTAGTGGGAGAGACTCCATATGTGGCATTGGAATATCACACATATTTCTCAACAGAACTATCTGTAAACCTACTGTGACATGATGGGTTTTTTTCCTTTTCTTTGAAGGGAAATATCTGGGAACAAATTGTGAGAATACCCTTTCTCCTGGAAATAATTAATGCTGTCCCTTTCATCATCACGGTAAGCATATTTGAATTAATACATTTGCACATTGCACTTTTATATCTGCACAAATACTCTTAATTTGTATTGAAGTAAATTTAAATCTTATGCGGATGACAAATTGGTGCCTGTGGGAACGTTTGCTACTTGAATGAAGTAATAAAACAGATCACTTTCCCCTTCCTCCCCAATAAGGGACAAACAAAACCAAAACCCTCTAACTCAAACTACAGCACAATCAATATATTTGGGGAAAAAAAAAATGTATGATATTATATATCAATATATATAAATATACTGAGATAAAATAAACCAGCTAGATATAAAAATCTAAGAATTTCTGTTGTCTGCACTGAAAACTGACTGTCCTTATTTTATCAAATTATCTTACATACAGTTCATCACAAAGTAAGAAAAAATGGTATTTTAAAGCCTCATCTCACACCAGAAACACATTAATAATAAGTATTTTGCCTAAGTAAGTGTTACATTGCTACTTGAATAGAAATTCTCTATTCTTGAATAGAAAAGCTTTTAATGAATTCGTTAACTTTTCTTTCAGATTTTCTGGCCAGTCCTAAGAAACCTGTTTATTCCTGTATTTTTAAATTGTTGGTTGGCAAAACATGCTTTAGAGAATATGATTGTAAGTATGACAAAGGAAATAACTATTTTAGAGTTTTGGGGTTTTTTGGTATATTGTCTTTACTGAGGTTTTGGCAGTATAGTCTGCTGCCCAACATTAACAGGAAGATAACCAGATCTGTGTTTAGATTATATAAATGGTCAAGCATTGCTAAACTGCTTTCTACATCAAAATTAGAAAAAATTAAGACATCAAGTGAAATCTCAATTAGTCTAAATTGTTACTGTGCCAATAAGGGAAAGATGGAATGGCTGGTTCTTTTGCTACTCTTCCATTCGTACACAACTGCAGGGAACTCAACTGCTAGGCCTTAATTGGTCCTTGCAGCCTATGATTTGTGAGATAGACAAGAGCAGACAGTCCTTAAGGCAGTTTGCAATAGTATCAGAATTGTGCCAGGATGAACAAAGAAACAGTTAAATAATCACAGAATCACAGATGGCTCTTTCACACCCTTCCATATAATCAGCAAATTCCAAGTGCCTTTGAATGACTGCATTTTATCAGGGCACTATATAATTCCTCTATAGAATCAGATCATGCCTTATTAATTCAAAAGCCAAAATAACACCTATTTTCCATTAATATAGAATGATCTTCATAGAGCCATCCAGCGCACACAGTCTGCAATGTTTAACCAAGTCCTCATTTTGATATCTACCTTACTGTGTCTTATCTTCACTTGGTAAGTGGCCAACACACCTTTGTTTTTGTTATATATATTGGCTTTTCTTCCTTTACTATGCGGTGATAAAACAGGTATTGTGGAGATCATGCACTGAAATAAAAAGAGTAATAGACTTGTAATGAAAGTGTTAACTAGCAACTGATACTACTGGGGTCCTGATACACTGGGTTTGAAAACAAAATATGCATGCATGGGAAATGGAATCATTCTCACTCTTAGGAAGGAAATGTAGATGATGCAAAATCACAGGAGAAAGAAGTAGGGGAAAGCTTACATATGTACCAAGAGTGCAATCTCAGTAGAGAAGTCACTCAGATTTGAAGAGTACCAACAGAAGTACCCATACTAAGGTCACCTTCCTCTGGCTGGTGGGACAGACAGGGAAAAATATGCAAGATCTCAGCCTTATCACTCTGATGACCAAGTCAGGTTCCCATAAGGAGTACAGGGGAGCTGTTAATAACCTAGATTAGGTTACAGAAAGTGTAGATTTGACTGATCTAGATTACTGAAAGTAGTGGATGGTAGGTTCAAACAACCAAAATGTGTTACTCTGAAGAACTTTTTTTTTGACCTTGAAAACTTAAATTTACAGTAGTTTGGGAAGCATGGAGAAAAATCCATTGAAGGCATTAAATATAAATATACTTGGTTAATGAAATTTGTGAGCTGCAGATTATTGGAGGCTAGGAAAAGATACACAGGAAACACCAATTGATTGCCCCATTTTTATACTATGCATTAGGGATCTTCTGTTGACCAGGGCTGGAGACACATAAAGTAGACTACATGAGTCTTTGGTCTCACCCAGTATGGTCATGGGTGAAACCAAATGGATAGTGGTTATAATATATCTTGGTAGCTTACTTAACATACAGAATTTTCTCAGCAGTAGTGCCTGAGAAGTAAGTATCATATACAGGGGGGAAAAAAAAAGTAGAGGAAGAATGTGTGTGTTACAAGACAGTGTACAAGGGGGCAGTGAACAGAGAAGATGATTCCATGTGGAAAGGCTAAACCACCTCTATTTATTTTGCCAGACAGGTTGCCTGATAAAGTTTGGTCTGTCATTTTGGAGACAGTGATTTGATTTTTCTCCTACTTTATTTCTCTAGGTTGTTTTTCTGATAGCCACTGTTATCTCCTCTCTAACCCTTTTGGTAATAACAGTGTAAAATAACACATGGCTTTTTCCAGTCTTGTCCCTCTCTGTCCTTTATTTAAGAGAGGAGTTTGTTCTAGCCAGTGGCTGAACGGATGGTCCAATTTTACCTTTTGTCTTAATGGCTGCACAACTGCGTAATGACAAACGCTGCCAGTTCTAAACAGTAACAAATTTTTGTGAGATTAAATTTTCTATTGAATATTATATCCCTTTAAGAGGAAATCTTATATGAATAAGGTCTACAGTACTTGAACCAGAATGCATAAATTTCTATCACTGTAGCACTTGGACATTTTTAATTATCTCTAATTTTGCTTTTTCATTTTCTACGACACAAAGCGCTCTTGAGTAAATATGCCTTCACCTTTTTTACTAGCCTACTTCAATGTTTTTCTGAACTGTTGGACAAAATATGTATCCAGTTCTCACTGGAATAAGCTAGTAATAAGGATGTTTCCTAAGAAATCACTGTGATGATCCTTGGTTGAATAAGGTATATAGAAGCTCCATCTAAACAGAACATCCTGCTCATGACCAGGCATTTTGATAACTGATGGTAAAACATACAGAAAATGCCAAGCTCACCTACAGTAATTATGTCTGGTCTCAACAGCCGCAGATACCAGCTCATTATAGATCATTATATACTGACCTAGTATTGACCCTGCTAGACTGCAAAATAAGCTAAATAAGATGAAAACACCCAGTAATGTAATAACTAAGGAAATGAAGTACTTTTGGAATGACTAAGAATAGTTGTTCAAGAATCTGCAGCTTGCCTAAGACTCGAGTTCTGCTTAGGCACTTGTTACTATTGCTTACATGAACAAACATAATGGCATTTTTACACTTTTTTATACTCTATGTATAATTTTATATTACAGAGTATATTTTTAAAATATCTAAAAAATTCTCCATAAACAGTCAAAATCAATTAGCTTAATGTCTTTGATTATGTTACATCTATGATGAATTTGAGACAGCATTTCATTTTAAAGGTACATCATTTAGAGCTTACATGAGTTTCTTCATGCTGAAAGAGAAGCAAAGTCCATTTCTGGAATCTGTCCACTTAAGGATGACTTTCACCAGCCTGATCTTTCACTTTTTCTGCAACAACAAGCAGTAACCAATGTATTCCCCCCACATATGGGAGACAGCACTAGACTTACCCGTATGTGTAATGGAGCACAACACAAAAAAAATTTTGAGCTAGCACCAGTCTGTTTTCACGACCATGTTTTGGTTACATTTAGATACTACCTTGGTCCATGAAATACCGTAGCTTCAGTAATGCAAAATTAATAAGTCTAGATTAGTAGCTTGAATACAATGCTTACAGTTTCAGAGCACTTTCCTCTTGGAGTATATTCAGTACCATGGGGACATGCTCATGCTGTGCTTTTGGAGCCACTGGTAACTGCCCTCACTGTCCTGCCCTGCCAACCTTTAAAGTTAATGAGAAAGACTTTCAGGCACTGTATGGACTACATTGTAACACTATAGCCCTTCTTAGTTCTGGTTGACAGGCTTACTTTTACCATCTGCTTCAAAAAGAAGATTGGCTTCTCAGCACTCCTGAAGTCAATATAACTTTACAACACCATGTTCTGTTCAAAACCATTCTTTTTTTATCAATCAGACACATAAGAAAGAAGCATCACATACCTTTGTATGAGGATTACACCATTTTACAAGAAGTCCAAGATGGTATGAAGCCCAGAAAGACTCTTCTTTCTACTTCAATTTTTTACCAGTTCAGTTAGACTTGTGCACTGAGAAAGTGCAGCAAAAGTGCTTACCGCTTCACATGAGACTGAAACCTTTTGTAAGTCTTTTGATGATCATTTCTGTGAGAAAATTTAAAACCAAAAAATGCTGAAACATAACTATTTTCTAGCAATTAGTTCAAAGGAGATATGCTTCTTAATCAACTTTTCAGAATTTTGGGTATATTTTTAACATATTTAAAAGTAGGTTTTTGCTGAGGTGTGAAAGAGATGTTTTGTATAATTCCTTGTGCAATGACAGAAACGTTTAGTTCTGTACACAGTACAAAATAGCTGGATATGTACAGGCATATTGGATCTGACGTGTCTCCACTGATAATTCTGAAAGTATGATTTTGCTGCAGAATGTATATTCTAGGATCTTTTCTGAAAACTTATGTGTTTAGGGAGTAAGAGGATATTTATATCAAAAGATATTTATGCCTGATCTTAGTATGGCTGCAAGTTCAGTGAGCAGGAACATGCCTCTGCCATCTATTTGTCTAGCCAGAACTGAAATTATGCTCTCTCAAATGTGGAGGAACGGTTCAGTCCTAGACACTTAGAAGTGCCTCAGAATACCCAGGACCCTGGGGAAGAACCTGGCTGGACCTCCTGGTCTCCCAATGGTTTACAATGGAGGCAGAAAACATGTATGTCTAAGCCTAGTACATTTCTACTTGTTCTTCTAGCACGTAGACAACAGTACTGCATTTGTTACCATTTGACTGGTTGTCTTTCTCAACAGAAATTTACTTTAAAGATCAGTTTGAGGGATCTATATTATGTATAATAGCTGCAGGGTTTGTATGATGTTTAACAAGGCCAAATGCTGGGTCCTGCACTTTGGTCACAACAACCCCATGCAATGCGACAGGCTTGGGGGAGAATGGCTGGAGAGCTGCAAGGCAGAAAAGGACCTGGGGGTGCTGGTTGACAGCTGGCTGAATATGAGCCAGTAGTGTGCCCAGGTGGCCAAGAAGGCCAATAGCATCCTGGCCTGCATCAGAACTAGTGTGAGCAGGAGTAGGGAAGCGATTGTGCCCCTGTACTCAGCACTGGTGAGGCCACACCTCGAATACTGTGTTCAGTTTTGAGCCCCTCACTACAAGAAGGACTTTGAGGTGCTTGAGTGTGTCTAGACAAGCACAATGAAGCTGGTGAGGGGTCTGGAGCACAAGTCTTATGAGGAGCGGCTGAGGGAACTGGGGTTGTTCGGGCTGGAGAAGAGGAGGCTCAGGGGAGACCATATTGCTCTCTACAACTGCCTGAAAGGGAGTTGTGGCAAGGTGGGTGTTGGTCTCTTCTCCCCAGTAACTAGCGATAGGACAAGAGGAAATGACCTCAGGTTGCGCTAGGGGAAGTTTAGATTGAACATTAGGAAAAACATCTTTACTGAGAGAGTAGTCAAGCATTGTTAACAAGCTGCCCACGGAAGTGGTGGACTCGCCATCACTGGAAGTGTTCAAAAAACATGTAAGCATGGCACTTCACAACATGGTTTTAATGGGCATGAGGGTGTTGGATTGGTGGTTAGACTTGATGATCTTAGAGGCCTTTTCCAGCCTTAATGATTCTGTTCTATGATAAGAAAGCAGCATTATTTATAGAAAACATTAAAAAAAAATGCATAAAATGAGCTCTTCCTCATCACCTTTGCTCCTGTCTGCACGTAAGTATTTTCAAAATAACTTCTACCATAGCTAACAGAGAAAAATGAATTACTGCATCATCAGCAAACCCATCAGTTTACATCTCCGCAACAGACTCTTGCAAGTGGTGGTTACACATGTACATGCATACCAACTTATGTTTTATAACTCAGGTGTAAGCTTACAGATGAAAAGTTAAAAAAATAAATAATCTAATGTTTACAGGTAATCAGCTAATCTCAAAATCATTATTTAATCATTATTTAAGCTGTCCTTTGCCCTCAGAATACAGTGGGAAAAGGTTCCTTCTGTATTATTGTATACAGTTGTCAATTTTCAACATTGTTACAGAACAAACAGTAATCACACAGCAAAATTTTTGCTCTATTCTACTCTTTGATTTTTGATGAT